CTTTGGAACTTGTGTGCTAGGACACCAATCTTCTATTCGATGATGTGCTTTGAGAAAGAGAGATTAAGATCACTTCTTCAACCCTCTAGACTCTCCAAAAAGGGTCTGAAAAGTTCTCTAGGTCGACCCCTTAGTGTTAGGGTTCTATTTCTCCTCTTATCCAAGTGATTAACCCTAGATCCGGACTTTTAAAATTAAATCTGAACCCCAGACCGAACGGACTGCTTAGTAGTCCGTTCGGTCTAGACACTTGGTCTGTTCGGACCAGTTTCATAACTGGGTCCGTTCGAACTGATGGGTCAGTCCGTTCGGTCCAACACTTGGTCCGTTCGGACTGAACTCTCTAGTCCGTTCGGTCTACTCCTAGACCGGACGGTCCGGACCACTTATCCAGATTTCTCGACGTTTTCTCGTGCATTTGTCCTTCCCTGCGTGTGTGTCCCAGTAGGCTCATTCGATATAGCAGTATAACCCGAAATCTCTATTCCGGATTATACAAGTCATAGGCGGTCTCTAGCAAGACACTATGACTACCTATCTCAAATAGAGTTTGTTTGTGATCTTACGAACGCCAGAGATGATTCCGGTTGATGATCCTTTTGTATCACAATATCATATGTCGAATATAAGGCATGGACAAGCCACCTTATCTGATTCGACTGCTTTCTCGTTCACTGAGTTCGACTGTCTGAAATAGACGACGTTCGTCTACAGTGCGGCCACACATTTCTACAGTCTCGCTCACACGAGGGGCCCAGCGATATCTCTCTCTTTTACGAGAGGTACAAATCCCGTCTTGACTATCTACAATCCAGCACATGATTCATTTCGTACCTGATACACGCCTTTATAGTCCTCCTGGGCCACACATTTCTACAGTCTCTCTCACACGAGGGGCCCAGCGATATCTCTCTCTTTTACGAGAGGTACAAATCCCGTCTTGACTATCTACAATCCAGCACATGATTCGTTTCGTACCTGATACACGCCTTTATCGTCCTCTTGTTACGCAGGACGTTTGACGTAATCAAAGTACGCAACTCCTCATGTTGGATTCCGTAGATATCTCAGGTCTTAGGATCCAACCATAGAACCGTCATATGAGATTCAAGTCATGACGCTAGTCCATGTGACAATCTCATGCGGGTCAATCCAGTATTCCGTTCTCCAACGAATACCTATGACTGTGATCGTATCCAATACCCATGATAATCTGTATGATCATTAATCACACATTATACTAGTCTTATTATGTCATCATTCCCATAATGACACAAGACTAGGGAGTTTAGTATCATTCATAATGATACATGGATTTCATAACACATTTAGTATGCAAGAACATGCAATGAATCAAATACTCTCATAAAAGATAAAAAGTATCAATACATCAAATGTATCTAAATAAATCTCATAAACAGTACATCATAGAGCACTAAACCAACAGGTGGATGAAAGATTTGGGTTAGGCTGATGGGTTGGTGGTGTTGGGGGTAAATCAGATGCAGAGGAGGTTGCAGAAGAAGAGTTGTCTTCCATAGTTCAGAGAAGGAAAGATAAGAAGACTAGGTAAATAAACGAAAAAAAAAGGATAGAAGGATAGAAGAAAGAAAGAAAAAGAAGAAAAGAGGGTTTAAGGTCGCTCTGATACCATTTTACCTTGCTGCAACTTGAAGACGAAGAACACTTTTCCAGAACTTGAAGAACACGTTTAGAGCTAAAGGAACACAGAATGCTTTTGGGAAAATATGCTTTTCGTATATCTCAAAAATGCTTTGTACAAACTCTACTTATACACAAAAACAAATGAATAAAGAACATGCTATATACCTACTACATTATTGAAAAAGTGATCCTATGTAGCTGTACGAAACCGTTATGCACAGACAAGAGGTGAACCCGCACATAACTCTGTAAGTGTTGTAGTAGAGATTGTCGGACAAAGTACAACCATTAATACAAGGCTGTACCGAGGCAACGGAACCGTTATGTTGTACAATGGGTCGTATCAATGCACCGAGTTTTAAATTTATACCTGATTCACGTGTCACTGTAACAATACGGATTGCCGTAACATTGGGTCGAAGGTGTTGGGATTCCTGGAATCTCATGAGCGAATCTAATTCCTAAGAGATCGATTCTAGGGTTTGCGCAGCGGAAGTAAAACAAAAATTTAATAAACACTAGAACCATGCTTCTAATGAATCGTAGAAACGTTAGAACGCTTACCTCAATCGATCCGGGGCCTGTATCAATCGAAGAACACGTCTGATCACGAAAGACAGGAAGAATACCTCGCCCTCTACACGTATCCACACCACCGGATGGATTCCAACGGTTGGAACTTGTCTGCTAGGACTCGAATCTCTATTCGATATGTGCACCGAGAAATCTCGAGACTTAGAACTCGTTTTTGGATCTCCAAAAAACTCTCTAGTTTCTGCCAAAAGTCGGCTCCCCAAGTCTCATACGAGTTAGAGTTTTTAATCTCCTTCTTATAAGGTGATTTAACCCTAATTCGGTTTAATTTCGGAAAAACTGAAGCCCGGAACGGACGGCCCAGAAATACACGAGAACCGTCCGTTCCAGCACGTAGAATGGACGGTCTGGCATTAGTGGACCGTCCGTTCCAGACCTTCTGGAACGGACAGTCCGTTTCGGACCGTCGGGTCTGCACGGCGGACCGTCCGTTCCGGACTTCTGGTCCGTCCATTCTCGCACGTTTTCTCGTCGTTTTCCGTCGTTTTCTGTCGTTTTCTCGCACGTTTCGTCCTTCCCTGCGTGTGTGACCCTGTAGGCTCATTCGATATAACAGTATAGTCCGAAATCTCTATTCCGGATATACAAGTCATAGGCGGTCTCTAGCAAGACACTATGACTACCTATGTCGAATAGAGTTTGTTCGTGATCTTACGAACGCCAGAGATGATTCCGGTTGATGATCCTCTTGTATCACGATATCATATGTCGAACATAAGGCATGGACAAGCCACCTTATCTGATTCGACTACTTTCTCGTTCACTGAGTTCGACTGTCTGAAATAGACGACATTCGTCTATAGTACGGCCACACATTACTACAGTCTCGCTCACACGAGGGGCCCAGCGATATCTCTCTCTTTTACGAACTGTACAAATCCCGTCTTGACTATTTACAAACCAACACATGATTCGTTTCGTACATGATACACGCCTTTATAGTCCTCCTGTTACGCAGAACGTTTGACGTATTCAAAGCACGCAACTCCTAATGTTGGATTCCGTAGATATCTCAGGTCTTAGGATCCAATCATGGAACCGTCATATGAGATTCAAGTCATGACGCTAGTCCATGTAACAATCTCATGCGGGTCAATCCAGTATTCCGTTCTCCAACGAATACCTATGATTGTGATCGTATCCAATACCTATGATCATCGCTATGATCATCAATCACACATCATACTAGTCTTATTATGCCGTTATTCCCATAACAACACAAGACTAGGGAGTTTAGTATCATACTAGTCTTATTATGTCGTTATTCCCATAACGACACAAGACTAGGGAGTTTAGTATCATTCATAATGATACACGGATTTCATAACAGATCTAGTATGCAAGAACATGTAATGAATCAAATACTCTCATAAAACCCAAGAAAGTACCAATACATCAAATGTATCTGAATAAAGCTCATAAACAGTACATCATAGAGCACTAAACCAACAGAAGGACCGGTAGCAACTCTGACGCAACTAATCCTAGAGGGGAATGTGGTGAACTTCTCGTGACCATGATCACGAACCCGGTTCTTCAGTCGGTTCAGCATAGGATGAAAATTGATGTTGTCGAATTGTGTCTAAATCTAAGCTAATTAGTAACCTAGTTTTATCATTTAAGGTATTGTATTATTTAGAGAATATTTAAAGATATTTTTGGACATATGTCACACACAAGGTGGGTTTTTTCTTTCTCTTTTTCTTTTATTTTTTATAATTCGGGATCAACTACATCCTCCAAATGATTAAAAAGTATGGATAAATATATCTCTTCACTCTTCACGTTTAGATTTAAATCCGAAGTAACAATATATTTTACATATTTTCTTATCGTTAGACCACCTGAGTTTGGATATTTTTATTTCATTTTGGCATCCAACGCCGCGAGCATCGAGATGGACCATAGACACGCTGCAACCCGAAGAGAGGAATACTTTCGTCGGAAGCCCAACGTGAGAAATACCGCTGAGAAATCTGTTCGGCCAGTGTAGGTAGGGTCCTACATACGACCATGAGAAGGATCAATCGGGACGAGAGCACCGTACATATACTTGTACGACAAGAAATTGGTCTCTGACAAGAAAAAAACATGCGTAAGGTTGCGAGACCGAAACGAATGGATGCAAAGAAACTGGGTACGTGCAGACAAGTGAGGATCCTCGGGTCATAAAGGATTACCGCTGAATTGAAGTCGGAAGGCAGCCGGTGGGAGGCTGTAATCTCAGCTCTTGAAAATCTGGCGAAATGCTGTCAAAACCAAACGCTGATTCACGTTCGTTTCGCGTCTCCAGTCGAGAAAGAGGAGGAAAGGAGTGAGATCGCCCGTTTAGCTGTAAACGTTGAATACTACCAAAACCCTAATGCAGTCGAATTCTAGGAAGAACCACGCGATAACGCTAAGAGCGGAACTGGCGAAGGCAACCGGACAGCAACCTCGGACGGCTCATCAATCACGGAGACAAAGGATTCGTCCATTTCCAAGCCTTGTCGAGCAATAAACTACCAAATTCTCCGATTACGTCAGAGTATCTTCTAGTTTTATGGATATATAATTTATATGACAATTTTTTATACATTTTTTCCTTATCATTTTTTATTCAAGTTTTACCTGGTAATAAATATTCAAACCAAACCAAAACCGAGTCACTCCAAATTCAGAGTTTTGACAGAACCGGATCCCTGTCCTTAGCTTTAGAGTAGATACATAACTCCAATCATTCCACAATACACACACACAACTTCATGAATTGGGTCTTTATGTAATGATGTAATTTGCCATGTAGACTGATCCTCCGACCAAAACAGAGACCATGAAAACATCTGTACAAAGTTTAAAAAAAACTCCTCATCTCTATGGTCCAATTGCATTGAGGAGGGATAAGAAAGAAACTAAACCTGGGGTTTTTTTTTGCATTGCAAAGCTTTAAATCAATAGACGACGGCTGCACATTACAAGACTTCCCGAACTGATTCTGTGCCTCAGCTTCCACGACTCATACACAAAATCAGCGTTGCTCGGTTGCTTCAGGTAATCCCCAACATCTATCTTCAATCTTCTCTGTCCCCCCGACGATCGGCTGTTTCCCGGGTCAGAAGATTTCACTGCTGAGCAGCTTCCCATGCTACTGATGGAGCGGATGCTCATGTCGCGCCCAGAAGTCACATCCTATCGAAAAATGCAAAATAAAAACAAGGATCAAGGGAGACAGTGCGATGGAAACTCGATCTGCAGCTCATGATCAGAACCCGAGAATGTGTAGGGTTCTAACTATTGTTTTCCCCGCACTTTGGGAATCAATATTCCACACTCGTTTAATCTCATAATTTGATCAAACTTTTCAGATGCCTATATCGATTCGAACTCGCAAGCTCTCCCTTTATAGGGGAGAGAGCCACAAAACAACAGAATGCTAATGTCTAGCAGAGGTATCTGAGGAGCTTGTGCATTTATAACTGTACCAAGGGAAGGAAAAATCATTACCTGAGCTGATGAATCAGATTCCCAGATCTTAGATTTCGTTACAGGTGGTGTGTCTAACGATTTGCTCAGATATCGGAGTGGAGAAGAATCTGTTGAAGTTTCCCATTGCAGCCAAGGAAGCATAACTCCATCTGTCTCGACTGGGGCAGCCTCGGGAATAGCTGTATACGTTTTTACCACGCCAAAATTCGAACTTGTCTCGCTCCTTTCGTCGTCCAGTGACGAGAAATCCGTGTCTTCGATAGTTGAGATGAATTCCTCGATGTATTTCTCTGCCTCGTCTGTTAAGCATGTCGATATCCTGCTCCTGTCCTTGCTCCTCTGGAAAGTGAATTGTTAATACAAAGGCACAAAACTTTAAGTAACAAGGACCAGTTTGTCTGGTCTGAGAATTCGAAAACCACACCTTGCGTGGCCGGGAAGGCTTTTGGCTAACTTCAGAACCACTTTCGGTTAGTAATCCCTTTACGATCTTCGAGAGCTCCTTACCACGCTGCTCCTCTAACAAAATCTCGGCCAGCAGATCCCTCTTACGCTCCTCAGACTAAGGCATGTTACATAGGTTAAGATATTCCTTGATAATAGAAACTATCTACGACTGATGCACGCATCATTTTGTACCTCTACTAATTTTGTTGCATAATCTTTTGTAATTGAGGTAACATCATGGCGAGTTTTGGAATCACAATCTCCCAGAGAATTCCTTGTTTTGGCCTTTGCCTGTACCAACAAGATCCACTATGTTAGAAGAGACAACGTTCCAGAATTAAATAATCGATTTGGATGAATGAAACATAGGATGTCATAGTTCGAATTCTGTACTAATCTCTTCCAGAGCATTGCTTAGTTCTTTCCAAATAGCTTCATAAAACTCACAAGTAACGTAATCTACAATCAAATTCTCTTCCCAATCCCATACAGCAAACGGGCCATGAAACAAAAGATAGTCAGTACGGGTGGAGGAGAATTAATTAGATTATAAAGTGAAGAAACCCCGAAAATTGAATTCTGATTCGGGTATCTGGGTCCAACATCGGGTATTACAGTATCACCCCGGACACCCAAATAAATAATAAAATGACATTTTTACCCCGAAAATCGGGTATCCAATCCAAGTCAACTCCTAATATATGATATATATTTTGAAAAAAAATCGAAATTTTGTATTTTAAGTCGGGTTAGAGACTAGAGTATCGCATATATCCGAAAATCATCTTGGATACTCCAGTTTCAGGTTCGGTTAACCCGAATATCAGGATACCCGACCCGTGTCCATCCGTCTGACTCTTAGTGAGGCATTTAGCTTGACAACAATTTGTGGCATAAAGATCTTTCTTCATTTCATAAAACCAAACCTTATTCTGAGTGTATACAGCTCGAATTATCCTTTCAGTTCCATGCTTGCCAGAGTGTGTGTCCTTTCCTTCATCGTCTGTGATAGCTGAGGAATGGCTCTGAAACATCCGTAAAGTTTTTTCCCGTCAGTTCAAAAGTGAAATGTGATTGAACACATTCGGTAAAAGGAGTTAGGTGAGATGAAATCATCGGCTAGAAAGAGTCATCAGGCCTCTCACTGTTACCAAATTCTTTGAACAAAGGATTATGAACTAAAACTTCGTTATAGCCTTGACAAAGATAAGTAATTCTTACAGAGTAGCCATCATGGTACTTGATTTCATTTTGGCTAAAAGACCTCCTTAGACTTGGTCTATGAACTGAAGCAGGATGCTTATGAGATCCAGTAACTTGGCCATTTCCACCAACATAACTCTTCAACTTTCCTCGATTGCTTGAACTCTGAATAAGATCCACATCGCTCTGCAATTTCAGAAAGACCCGCAAATACATGTCATTCCAGGTACTTTTACTCTCCGATTCACAATGAATGTAATCCAGATATGACGATATAACAAACCGAATCAACAAGCCAAACCTCCTTTGGACGATAATACAACAATATTAACGAATTATACACTAATGCTGATACACGATGATAAAAGGTAGCCAAGCCTTAGCTTGTCACTGATTCTGTGCTTGAAACGACATAGATATATGAGTGAGAAAGCAAATCCAGAAACCAAACCCATATGCAGACAAGCAGGATCTGTAGTAAGAGAGTTCCCCTTAAATTGCAAAACAAATCAAAATCATAATTCTGAATGTTCTTCTAAAAGTTACTTTTGGAAGTAAAAAGTTCATCACTTTAAATTGTGCCATTTTCAACTTCAAAAGCTTAGAAACATCACATCAAATCGACCACCACCAACAATCATCATACTATAGGGGCCCAGGAAAAATGCAAATTCACAGAAGATTCAATAAGCTTTTTAGGAATTTTCACCTCAGAATCGCTTATACGGCACCGAACAACAGAAACCGATCTCCGCCGCGAATTTGCGCTTCCTGCACCACCGCCATTAACGCCGGCGTTTCCCCTCGACGGCGGTCTCGACACCGATCGACGCCGCCCAGAATTCGCGATTGCTGTATCTCCGCCCCTATCACCGGCTTCGCCCCTTGCCGGAGGTCTTGACATCGATCTCCGCCGCGAATTTGCGCTTCTTGCTCCACCACAATTTTCACCGACATTGCCCCTCGACGGCGGTCTCGACACCGATCGACGCCGCCCAGAATTCGCGCTTCCGTATACACCGCCGCTATCACCAGCGTCGGCTCTTGTTGGAGGTCTTGAAACCGATCGCCGCTGTCTCGCGCTCTCCGGATCCGCGCCGCCCCCGCCGAGAGCAGCCCTAGACACCGACCGTCCCCGCCTCTGCGACACCGTCGACTCGTTATCGACTCCTCCGCTGCCGAATTTCCTCGAACCAGATCGTCCTCTCTCTCCGCCGCTGATTCCGCTACTGTCGGCGGAGAACGAATCGAAGAACTCGACGGCTAAGTCGTCGAGGCTAATCTCCGGGAACCCAGAACCCCGAAAAGTATTGACAAACTTCCCGTTCCTGGCGGGCGTCACTTCGGCGTCCAGATCCGGCATGCGACGGTGAGAGAATCGACTCAAGCTCCGGTGCCTCCTGGGAGCCGACATCCGGGCGGAGGAAGAAGATTCTCCGTCGTCGCCACTGGTGGAGGATTTGGGCAGCGGCGTTGGTCGCTTGGTGGTTGATCTGAAGGCAGAAGTCGTCATTAGAGTAGAAAGGACCCGGAGGAGGACCTAGAGAAGGAGCGTTTGGTTCAACATTTCAAACTTCCTCTGCTGTTCCAAGAGATGGAAGACTATAAATTAAAAATAAATTTACAAATAAAATTGAATTGAATGGAATATTTTTAAAATTTGAATTAAATTTGACCCCATTTCCCATACAAAATAAATATATACATCTTTCATTTATGTGGGAAACGCAACCAATTTTTTAATTCAAAATTTAAAAATATTCCACCCAATCCAATTTTTGAATCGAATGTGGGATTGTAATATTTATAAAAAAAAAATAATTATAAAATATACGTGTGTATATATATATATATATGAAAAAAAAAATCGAAGACAGATAATAATTTGTTAAGACAAAGATGGGATTTGTCCGAACTCCGAAGATGGAAAACTAGTCGTGGATTTTCCTCTGTTGTGTCATTATTTTGGTGTTAAAGAAGAAATCTCATTCATCACGCCAAATGTCTCATAATGATACGAGAGGCTGCAAAAGGAAATCCTAATGTGCTGTACTGCTTGTGGTAGGATATCCACCCATCCACCCACTCCCCACACCAAAAAAAAAACACAACAGTTAAAAGGGGAAAAAAACTCGTAGATTTTTCAAGATGTATAGAAAATATTAAATTGGCTTAAAAACAAAGAGAAAATCAATTTAAATATCTTGTTCTTATTCAGTAACATGTCAATCTGATATTACATGTTAAATCTCCTTTATATCTTATATTTTAGATTTTGAATCGACAGTTTTAAATTTTTTTAGTTTAATTTCTTGATTTAAATACGCTATATAGTTTCATTTCGTCTTCTGTTGACTTTTTATTAGACGATATTTTAATTTTAAAAATATTTAGTAAAAAAAATAGCTTGACTTAAATAAAAAAAAAAAAAGAAGAGAAGCGCAAATTTAACCAATCTAGGCTTTTCAAATATCGTATCAATCTAATATTATATAATATACAATATCAGCCATAATCCTACGCCTGTTAAACTTAGGAAAATAACAAAAATATTATTTTTTTATTTTCCAAAAAATCTTAGTGGAAAATACATAATCTTCTGAATGACAAAAAGGTTCTGTTGGTAGAAAAAATAATTCCGAAAAAGTTATAATGTGAATGTAAATAGGCAATATAGCTTGTTACAAAGCCTTCATAACATATTCTATAAAACCCTAAAATTTTGGAAAAAAAATAAAAGAAACAAAAGACATAATTAACCTTTCAAAACAATAACGTCATACACTTCTCCACTTACGTAGTCATTTTGAATTCATCTCTCTCGTTCTCACACTTTGATAACTTTCCATTTTTTTATTAATTTTCTCTCTCTACTATTATCTTTCTCTCAACTCTTCCATTTTTCCCCTAAAATTTTCGAAAAATGATTATTTCGTTGAACATATCTTCACCGCCGATCTTATATCTTCTTCTTCGTGTGTCGGTCTAAGCCAGAACAAATGACAAAAACTGAAGGTAAGTTCATTAATACAAGAGATTGGTTCGATACATAAACTTTGTGTTTTGAGTTTGAGTTTTATGATTTTTAAAGTGAATCGTGTGGTTTTTTATAAAAATGAGACAGATGCATAACAAATCTGTCGAAGAATATGCAAGAGGCGCATAATGGAACAGATTGACAACGAAAACAAAGATACGTCACACTGGTTACACCGTTAAAATTTAATTTTGGTCGCACTGGTCATACAGGTCACATTGGTCACACTAGTCCTACTGGTCACACTAGTCATACTGGTTACACCGTTCAAAATTTAGTTTTGGTCACACTAGTCACACTGGTCACACTAGTCACACTGGTCACACCGTTCAAAATTTAGTTTTGGTCACACTAGTCACACTGGTCACACTGATCACACTAGTCACTGTAGGATCCTAAGACCTGAGATATCTACGGAATCCAACATGAGGAGTTGTGTGCTTTGAATACGTCAAACGTTCTGCGTAATAGGAGGACTATAAAGGCGTGTATCAGGTACGAAACGAATCATGTACTGGATTGTAAATAGTCAAGACGGGATTTGTACCTCTCGTAAAAGAGAGAGATATCGTTGGGCCCCTCGTGTGAGCGAGACTGTAGAAATATATGGCCGCACTATAGACAAACGTCGTCTATTTCAGATAGTCGAGCTCAGTGAACGAGAAAGCAGTCGAATCAGATAAGGTGACTTGTTCATGCCTTATGTTCGACATATGATATCGCGATACAAAAGGATCATCAACCGGAATCATCACTGGCGTTCGTAAGATCACGAACAAACTCTATTCGACATAGGTAATCATAGTGTCTTGCTAGAGACCGCTTATGACTTGTATATCCGAAATAGAGATTTTGGGTTATACTGCTATATCGAATGAGCCTACAGGGTCATGTACGCAGGGAAAGACAAATGCACGAGAAAACATCGAGAAACCTGGACACGAGGTCCGGACCGTTCGGTCCAGGAGTGGACCGAACGGACCAGAACATCTAGTCCGAACGGACAATCTGGACCGAACGGACCAGAGCATCTAGTCCGAACGGACCAAATTGTTGGACCGAACAGACTAGAGGATCCAGTCCGAACAGACCAAATTGTTGGACCGAACGGACTGACCTGTCCGAACGAACGGACTGTGCTTTGTGCTGGTCCGAACGGACCAAGTGTCTAGACCGAACAGACTACTTAGCAGTCCGTTCGGTCTAGGTTTCAGAATTAATTTTTAAAAGTCCGGAATTAGGGTTAATCACTTTATAGAAAGGAGATTAATAACCCTAATAAGTTGTGGCCGACTAAGAGAACTTCAAGAGACCTTTTGGAGAGTCTAGAGCGTCTAAGTCTCGTTTTTCTCAAAGCACATCATCAAATAGAAGATTCGAGTCCTAGCAGACAAGTTCCAAAAGTTGGAATCCATCCCGAGGTGTGGATATGTGTAGAGGGCTAGGTAATCTTCCTGCCTATAGTGATCGGACGAACACATCAATTGATACAGGCCCCAGATCGATTGAGGTAAGCATTCTAAGGTTTCCACAAGATCATGCATGATAGGTTTTAGGGTTTTATCAAATTTTTGTTTTACATCCACTGCGCAAACCCTAGAACTAATCTCTTAGGAATTAGATTCGCTCATGAGATTCTAGGAATCCCATCAGTGGTATCAGATTCTGGTTTCTCTGCATGATTTGATTGTGGATCTAGAGTAGATTTTATGTTCATTGTTGCATAGTGTGCAAGAGGTTTCAGTTCTGAGTTCACAGGCGAAAACCGGGTTGAATTCGGATCTAAATCGGGGCCGAAACGACGAAAAACGTGATCTGGTCGTGTTTTTCCGCCTAGACCGAACGGTCTGGTCCTCTGGACCGGACGGTCTAGGGTTTCGTCGTTTATCTCTGGACCAGATTATCCAGTCCGAACGGACCAAATTGTTGGACCGAACAGACTAGATGATCCAGTCCGAACGGACCAAGTTGTTGGACCGAACGGACTAAGGTGTCTAGACCGAACGGACTACTTAGCCAGTCCGTCCGGTCTAGGTCATTGGTCCGAGAGAGATGGACTGGAGAGACGGACTGAAGGGGCGAAAGTCCGGACCATTGGTCTGGTCCGAACTATCTGGAAAGTCAGACCGAACGGACTGATCAGTCAGACCAAACGGACTGACCAGTCCAGACCGAACGGACCGAATTCACGTGGACCGACCGGTCCAGGTACAGGACCGACCAGTCTGCGTCCCGGGTGTAACAATTCATTCTTATGTGAAATACGGATCTTAGTCCCATATAGAAAATTGTTATAGGGTTAGTTTTCTTTATGGGAATATAGCTTGTGTATGCATCTATGTTATCGTTGATTGATGATTGACTAGCTGGTAGTAGATCATTGATAGAATCTGCATTTTGTTTTTTGTTCGTTCTGTTTTGTCTTTTTGTAGGACATGGCGTCAACCGGTAGCGTACCGAGTTTGACGATGCGATCTATCCTTTAGAAGGATAAGCTGACCGGGACGAACTTCTTAGACTGGTATCGGAACTTGAGAATTGTTCTCAAGCACGATAAGAATTCGTTCTGTTTTGTCTTTTTGTAGGACATGGCGTCAACCGGTAGCGTACCGAGTTTGACGATGCGATCTATCCTTTAGAAGGATAAGCTGACCGGGACGAACTTCTTAGACTGGTATCGGAACTTGAGAATTGTTCTCAAGCACGATAAGAAGTCATATATTATGGAAGGGGCTCTGCCACCAGGTAGCCTACAAATAAACACTTGTCAGATTTGGAGGATAACTTATCAGTCGTCTGACGCTTTACATAAGCGTCGCAACCCCAAATTTTGACAAACGACAACGCGGGACGCTTCCCCGTCCATATCTCATATGGCGTC